TTTACCAGATTTCAACTTTGTGGGAAGGAGCAGTAGCAGACCTGAGCTATTAACACACCACAGTTAATTCTCTCCAGCAACTTTTACTAGGTGGGACGTGTGGAGAAAGAAAACATCTGTAAACTGAGCATGCTCCTGAGAGTGGGGAGTATTTGGGGCACGGAATCCGAAGCCCAAGCACACATAAAACATAGCAGAATTTGTGAAAGGGTCTTTCCTAGGTACTCTGTAGCAAGAAGAGGAAGGGGTGGGGTGAGGGTTGAGAAGAATCTAGAATACTCCCAAAATCCATTTCCTTTTCCCAGAGCAGATGGGACTTTCCTGTGCTCCCCTCTGAGAAAGATTAAATGAACACTTCTGTCATTTCCAGAAGGTGGGGACACAGAGGTGAGAATATACCAGACAATGGCCTCTAGCTATGGAGGGCTCCCACCCTGTGCCCTGGCCCCTGTGGAACTCTCCTTACCTTTGCTGCTTGTACTTCATCTGAAACCACTGGACGTTCCTGGCTAGGATCTTTGAGAGGAAACCGACCAGGAGAATCAACGTCTCTTGGATCTACTCTGAAGCCAAGAAGCATTACAATAAAATTTACAGCGCCTTTAACAACTCACGAGTAAGGCATTAAAATTCGCTTTAATTGAGAAAATATTGATTTTTAAGTCTAGAAAAAGTGAAATCGTAATTTAGCTGCAAACTTTCAAGCTAGAAAACAGCGAATTATGTCGCCATATAATGGGTCCACCCTTTATCCCCACACAACATCACGTTTTTAATTGCCCTACTTTGTGAAGTGATAAAGACAAAAAGATAACCCGATCATGGTAAACGATTTATTTAAGAAAAATCTAGAGAAAGGATCTAGAATAATTTCTTTTTCCAGTTATATATGAAAAGAATTGCCTCCCTTTTTTTGAAGGGGGGGTGTCCAATGGGGAGAAAAGAAATAAAAAGAACGGAAAACCACAGACCAATCTAAAAGCCACTCACAGTAGCAAATCCGTTGGTGTTCTTTACCAAAGGAGGGATGAAGCCAGCGCATTTAAGAGCAAATGCATTCACGAGCAAAATTGCATCCTCCTTGAAACGAAACAAACCTAGGTCTATTTTCTGACATTATTCCCCAGTCGGGGTGCGGGGAGGAGGCAGAATCCATTGGTGGACAGAGAAGGGAAAGAAAATCAGACTTTCTGTGTTATTTCTGTATCGGTTTTTGGTATTATAGAGGAGTGAAGAAGTTTTTGTGTGGTGGTTTTTCATTGATCAGTCACTCTGAGCTAATGTAATTATCCTCATCAATAGGACGCTGCAGAGAGAATCATTATGTGGGTGACATTGATAAATGATCGCCCAGGAACGGCCCTCTCGCGGGCAACCCCCACATCTGACCCTCCTACACACACAATGTAGTCATAGAAACACCTACAAGGACCTCGAGCACCGCCGCGCCAGAGGCCGGAGCGGGAAGAAAAGCCTAGGGAGGCCGAGGTGGGGGCGGGGGTCCAGATCCCAGCTAGTTCCAAGACAAAACCAGCCTCCAGGGGGAGGAGGGAAGGAGAGGGGGGGACCTGGCAGCGTGGAGGGAGGGAGACAGTCCTGGTGCTGCCCCCCAGCCGCCAGCGCACAGTTGCTCACAACAAAGTGCAAATCCGCGGTGCAGACGGGCCCATTCCTCTACACCTTTCCCCACGTGCGACCTCACTCCCTGCCACCAAGTGATGTTTGCCCGGGCACAAACTGCGGGATTCCGCAGAGAAGTTAAAGATCTGGGTCACAGAACTTGCAGGCGTCGTGATTCTCACGCGTATCCCCCTCCCCCGCGTTCCAAACACTCCAAGCAAACAACAAACAAGCCCATCTGAAACACAACAAAGGCAAGGGCTGCGCGACACTTCCCCCTTTGGCGCTCCCCTGTTATTTCCTGGGTGACCCTTTCCTTTCTCTTCACATCCTAACCCACGGCCTCTGATTATGAGATAATGGATTTTGCTATTGTTCCTGTCAGGGGGAAAAAAATCCCCCCACCGAACCCCACGTTTTTATCTTTCCACTGTTTTATTTAAGCCAATGGGAAAGTATTGAGACCAGTAATTGATTCATAATGATCCATAAATCGGTGTCGGAAAGCGGGGGGTGGGGCGGCGGTGTGCGAAGAGAGGGGGCGATGCTGTTTATTTATTTTATTTCTAAAGCTTCAACTAAAGTATCTTTGACACTGTTGGGGCTGGAGGGGAGGGGCCGCTGGGCTCTGCCGGATCATCCATCATTCCTGTCACCCAGAGTCTGCCCGGAGGAGCCGTAGACGCAATCTCCCTTCTGTCTCTACACCGAAACTATTAATATTAAAACCTCCCTTCAAACACTGCCTCTACGGTCCCCATTCTCATCACGATCTGACCAGTCTCTCCCAGAGCTACACCCTGCTCCAGCCCTGCCGGGACCTGGGGGCTCCCCACGCTTGCGACGCCCCTAGTTGATCATTGCGACAGAAACTGTTATGTGCCCCCCTCCATCAGTCTCAAGCATGTTTGTCTGTGCAACAAACACACCCGCGAAGGGGAGGCCGCTGGCTTTCGCCTGCCAGATCCACTGTCTTGCCTGCTCTCGGGTCCCTCAGGAATGCAAGTCTGCATCCTCCCAGCCCCTGGACCGTAGGGTGGCTGCCTAGCTAAGACCATCCGGCCATTCAGAACACCAGACACAGGACCCTCTAGCAAAGTGGCACCTTGTAGTGGAGGTCCAGGCTCCTTATCAAATTGCTGGCCTGCAGGACTAATGGGGAACTTGTGGAGGAGTCCTTTGAAGGAAGGGCTGTCCTTTGACAGCTGCTAGAGATATTAGCCATTAGCCACATTTCCCTTCCCCGCCTGCTCAGGATTAACAGGCCGGCGGGGTGGAGAGCGAGTGGGCCAGGAGGCCTGATGGACTGGGCAGACCCATCCAGGGAGCTGGGGTCGGGGGTTGGGGTGCTGACCCGGGGAGTGGGAGGGAGAAGAGGGGCGTGGAAGTCGCAGGCGTCCCTGGACTTTTCTCTTTTTCCTCTGAAGTGTGGCTTCTTGCTCAGTTCCCAACCCTTAACAGATGGTGACTTCGGTTCTCTCTGAATTTCTTAAAGAAAGGGAAACCTTTGGAATTTATTTCTGCTTTTGCTTTTCCACATAAATAAAAAAGTGTTTTTATATTACTCTTGTTTTGGAGAACATAAGCAATTTTATTCAGACTGCAGTATTTCCTTTAACACTATATGGTTGTCAAAACACCATTCCCAGTTTCTTTGCTTTTGACAGCTGAGTCTTTCTTAAATATACCCAAATCGGAACTCTTTATACTAAATAGTAAACCCGAGATAGGAGCAAATGCCTTGGAGGTGGTATAAAAAGCACTATAAAAGTTGGACATATTCATCATTCCTCCATCTTAGCATGAATGGGGGTGGGGCAAGGAAATGCACAAATATTATTACAATTATCATTCATCTCCAAATATCTGAGAGTGGTTAAGGTTATCATGATAGGATGTGGATTTGGCCAAGATACTAAGCTGGAGATGATTCTATACATTAAAACCAAGGTTTGACAACTCTGGGCTCTAACCTTCACAAAATAATGTAATAACTTGGTAAAACACTTCTTATAAATGTGGGTTCATGACCGAGTAAAACTTCCAACAATTACCTTACTGAGAGGAATGGAAGAAAGTCTGTCAACCCTTTTTTTTTTTTTTCAGCTGATGTGAGAGCTAATTTATAAGTGGGGAACTTGTCAGAGTTTACATCAGAGCATTTAAAGTAAACATATGCAAATATTTAAATTTTGCAGAAAGATTCCATGTAAAACAGAGCAGGAGAAAAGGGAGGAAAGCTGTGCTGTTTTTTCCAAGAGGAACAGTACGTTTGTGTCAAGAAATGCTGTTTCTAGGTTTAAATAGCAATGTACTAATTAAAATGAGAAATGTACTTGTAAAAATTTTGCTTAATAATATAGAACAAAACAATAGCAATTTATTTCCTTGCTCATTCATATAGAACTTTCATTAAGGCCGTCTAAAGTGGAAAGATGAGAGAGCCCTATTCAGACATGACTATGGATTTCTTCCAAGTTAAAGTTCACAGGATTAGTGAACTAGTTCCCTATCAGGTTGAATCAAGTATCTAACTCTAGTTTATTAGCCATTCTAAACATGAGTCAAAGTTTAGGAGTTAGGGAGCTCTAGGGCAGTATGCTTATTTGATAAACAGAGGGCATGCAGATACCTCACACTTCCCCCACTTTTTGCACACTTTAGCATGCATTGTTTCTCAATATCAACAAGCTTGTGGTTCCAGATTACTGAGTGAAGTTTTGAAAATACCATGGTATTGTTTGTTGTTTTGTTTTTTTTTAAAGAAAAAACTCAAGTCACCAAATCATCACACTTGCATCCTTGCACATGGAGAAAGTGTCTAAAGTAAAAAGATACCAGAATATCATTTATATTAACGCTTGAGCAATCTTTTAAACTAAGGATTTAAAACTCCATAGAAATTGTTCAGTTATCTATGAACATCTATATATAAATTTTAATTTACATATTCAACAGTATTTTTGTAAGACACAAGAAATACAGATAAATTATGTTTGAGCACAGACATTATTTCTTATGATATAAAATTAACTCTGAATAAACTCTTTATTCTAGTGGTGGATGCACATGAAAAGCATTATCTGAAAGGACTTTAAAACATCATGCAGCTATAAAAGACACTGGATATTTTGAAGGTAATTTTTCAAGCTGGTTTATAACACACACACACAATTTCATACCTTTAGAAGTTTTCTGCTGGAGGAACTTAGAAGCCAAAAATACATATTGGAAAACTACAGATGACTTTTAAAACTGTTGGTAAGTTAAGTCTCAAATATACTAACTTCCAGGGGGGAAACCCATCACCTATTTCATCAGTGCACAGAGCTGGCATTGTGCAACTCTCTTAAAACCATTAAAAACACCAAAGCCTAACAAAAAATCAAAAATGAAATATTTATTACCGCATTTTGTGACTTAACACCTTTTTTTTTAACATAACGTCACAGTCCTCATACAAGTATTTTAATGTAAATTTGACAAAGCTTAAAGGTAACAGCATTTTCTTCTAGTGAGGAACACGTGCTGAAAAAAGAAGATTCCATGGACATACAATACCAATTCCACAGCAGATCTGATACTAGCAAAAACATTCTTTTTTTTTTTTTTCAATTGAGGTAAACACATAGAATATCTAACATGAAACAATTAATAGACCGAACTCTGTACGAAGTTTGTTACAGTATTCTCTTGCTCCTTTTTATCCCCCAAGCTTTGAGTTTCTGATAAAGTCTTAGTTATGGCGCAGTGACCATGAATAATTTGTGTGTGTGTGTGTTGAGGAAAGCTGCCCAACTTAAGATTGTTTTGTCCACAGCCAAGGCTCGGAACTGGACGAAGCTCCTGCTCTGTCTCTAAATCTTCATCGGCAAGCTCTTTGAAGAAGAGTGCCCCCAAATCATAATAAGAATTGGCTTATGAAACACAAACTATAAAGATCTGTTTGAAACTAAAGGACACATTGATGGGGATACAAAGGCTGGGCATGAAAACACATTCTTGCTGCTGGAGTTGGAGTGATGAGGGTCAGCCAAGAGTCCATCTCGCTCTCCAGCGTGGTTCTGTTCTCATTGGCCCAACAGGTTTAGAATATACCACAGTCTCTCCTGGATAGTGAATTCACTGATGAACCAAGACAGTCATTCTTTTGGGAACAACACACATAGTGTGGAAAACAAGGATATATTTTTTTCTCTTCTAAAACTATTTGAGGCAACGTAACGGAGTGATCAACAGAAATGTACAAGTTTAACTTAGTCCCTATGTTTATGCTACAGTAGTTATAGCTCTCGGAGTCTTTCTCCAGAGGATCTTTACATGGACAGAATTGTCTCAATGAGCCCATCACTTCACATTTGTGTTCTTGTCCCATTGGTCCTCTGTTGCTTGATGAAAAATGACAAAAGTAAAAAATAATCACAGCTGTCTGGAGTTTCATATTAAGTGTCAACATCTGGTCAAAGTTCAGAAAGTCTTAGAATAGTTTTTGCGTGTGTTTCCTTTTCCCTTGAGTTCCCTTATACTATTGGGCATGGATGTCCATAACCTGTCCGCCAACATTGGGATCTACAGAATTTAACATTGTGGGGCTCTGTGCTGACATAGTCATTCCAGGGTGGGTAGGGGGTCCTCCGTGCATCATCATGGCTGGGTGGTGGGGATGGCTTGGCAAATATGAATGCATTGGGGGTCCATGTCTTAACTGAGTAGGGTGTGGGGTCATCTGGGGAGGAGTGTAACTTGGCTGTGCCATAGTCATTCCCATAGGACCACCCTGAGACACGAAGTCCCCTGGCATGCTCTGCAAACCTGAAAATAGAGAGGGAAAAAGAAAGCGGGTCAAATTCCTAAACATTTTTATACTTTACCCATTAAAGATGAAAAGAAGAAGAGGAAGAAAAAAAAAAAAAGAAACAACAGGCACTGCAAATCTTATATCTAAATTTAGCTGCAGATTCTTGCCAATGTTTGCAGACATTCAAATTGTAGTTTGCATTTAATTTCATCGCACAGCAGTATAATGCAACATAACAGAACTAAATATTTAATGCAACTAAATGTCATAAAGTGGAACTGTTTTTCAAAATGGTATTCGGTACATTTCTTTGATAAATGCAATAAGAATATAAATTCTGAGTAGAGTTTTATCAGTTAACTGTTGAAATGTCATTTATTTTTCTTTGTTGCATTCATAGATATGGATAAAAATTATAGCTACTAAAATAAAACAAATTGACATCTTATCATATCTATATTTCTTCATGAAAAATTTATTACATAAAGCATTATGTCATATTCATTTTGAAGGGACTGGCTTTTATGTATATTTAAAATGAAGCCCCCTTTTTGAATTAGAGTCATTCTTGGAGCAGTACACCCAAGAGACTATAAAGGTCAAAGGTAAGAAGTCAATGTAAGGTCATATGACATGCCCAGTAGTTTATTTCTGAAAATCCCCTCACATAATGTCTTGATATCAGGTACAAAATGGAAGACACCTAGCAATTTTTAACTGAGAGATACAAAATTTGAAGTTATGATGTAAATGTTAGGATGTCAACAACCGAAGAATTTTGATCTCTCTTGTGAGTTACCTGTTTGTTGAATTAGGGTTCTATCATATTTACTGCTGCACATCCCCAGAGCTAAAAGGACAGCGTTATTCACCTCTATTTAACCTCCAGTACATACAGTTGAGAAGCCGAACAGATGTTTTTGACACCGTAAGCTGGTAATCTAAAGGCTTATACGCTGCAGTCATTTTGTTAAGTAGATCTGCAGTCCGTTATTAACAGAAGTGGCAAAGCCATCTAAAGACGATAACACAGCCTGCATAGTCCCAGCTCTCTCTGTTTATTCTACCACAGCAGCCTGCTCAATGGATGATGATAATTAAGTACCAAATATACCATATTGTGTGGCTGCATAATCAAATCAAGAGAGGATAATATTCTTCTGTATTAAGCTATTAATGTAATTGGTCATGAAGCATAAAATATGTTATGTAATTAAATAGGCTAGAAATTATATGGCCTATATTAAGAATTATCCAAGCTGAGCAAATGTTTTCTCTATAGCTGTTTTAGGGAACATTGCTTTCTACATTTTTTGACTGCATTAGAAGAAGGAAGGAAGGAAATTGGCTTCATCAATGGTGTGCCATGGTGACCCCCTGAGATCTCATATAAAATCTTGGCCTCTATTTACATATAGAGAATGATTTAATCAAGGTATGTGTTGTTATATTCAGCCTCATTAAACAAGGAAGTTTCAATGTTATATGAATTTTTTTATGCTCTGGTGTCTTCAGCAGAGGATATATCTTGTTGGCAGACTCTGAATTTTTTTCAGATGTCAAAAACACTTGAAGCTTTAACGTCTAATGGGTTTCTTAATCCAACTGCAGCCATTCAGCCTCAGTGAAAAATCCATTCCTTTATATTCAGTTGCTCCTAAATGTCTTTCCCTTTAAATTTATTGACTGACTTTCCTGTCTTCCTGTCTCATGTCGAAAGTCAGTAGGCACATGTAAAAAATAATCAAAACACACCGACTCCCTAGTGAAGAATCAATGGTGTCACCGCTGTCATATATCTAGACTAGGCATAATGAACTGCCGCATTTCATCTTTGCATATAAGATAATTTGGGCATCAATCGTATTCTGACAGATTTATGTCACTCAAAGGACAGTTCTACTTTTCCTTTTTTTTATCGCTTCATTGAAGCCTGCTTAATTTCTCTCAGTCAACTGGTGCCCCCAAGACGTTATTTTTATTCTTAAATGTCCAATATCTGCCTGATGTCTGTGTTTGTGCACACTGGGGCCACAGTAAATAGGCTAAAAGGCAGTCCCACCTGCTTAAAACACACGCAGGCTTGTCAGCTGGCCTTTTCAAAAGTGCACATCCTTGTCATCTGTGCCTTCAGAGATGGGTGATATATGTTTAAAAACAGGTCCTTAGTTTGGAAAGGCATGCAGTTATGGGCAAGGAAAAATAAAATGGGGGCAAATGATAAAAAAAAATCAAATGAAGTCTCTGAAATGATAGTGAAGACAGATCGCACCGACTGTACTTACTTCCCCCTTGCCTTGAGATTGCTTTACATGGCGAAGGTTACATGTAGTGCCATTGCCCATCCATGCCCATATTCATGCCCATTCCACTCATAGGTCCTAGAGAGGAGATAAAATCCGAGAAGAGGCCGGAAAATCAGCAATAATTGATGGCAAAAAAGTAGGAGGAAACTCAGATTCCTTTTCACTTATTGCCTTGGTTTCAAAAGAAAAAAAAAAGAAAAAAGAAAAAAGAAAAAGATAACGGATGTGTATGGGGCAGAGGAAAATGGTCACTGTTGAAAATCTTTACGTTTTTCAATGAGGACTTTTCTCCCCCACCCACTATCAAGGAAGCAAGCAGAGCAAGCAGCAGGCAAATGTTCAACCCACCCTGAGAGTGGGAAAGTGGAGAGGATGACAAAGACTGGTGGGGACAGTAGCACTTCCCAGGGATGCCGGGAGGATGGATAAGTAAACCTACCTGCAGGCCGGATCCCCATATGTTGCTGACCATCCAACACAAAGCTCCCCATAGGTTGACCCTCTGGACTATATGCTGCTCCTTGGCTCACTGAAGGATCAAGAAGAAAACCTGATTGTAGTCATTCGAGGACACAGAGGAGAAAGAAGAAAAGATATACCAAACAATCAGCAACTGTTCCTGCTGCAGCAAAGACATGTTACAGCGACAATGTGGATGGCACTTTACAGATGGCGGTGTGTCCTGAGTGTGTGCTTTCCTGACTGAAGAGATGTGTGTGAGGAGCTTTAGAAAAGGTGCGGGGCAGCAGCGACTCCAGCCAGGGTAGGGGTGGGTCGTCCTCTGTGGTTCTTTATTTCCTTGAATAGGGGAAGGGCCGCAGAAGTGAGGGAGCCAGGCCTATCAGTGTTGCAAGGAGCCATTTACTTGGGGGTTTATGATTCTGCTATCTCTATGGGCTTAATAAAAAAAAAAAAGTCACGTCAATACAAACATCAGAAACGTGAGTAATGTTTGTGAGGTTAAACAGACTCAATTAAATATTTGCTTTTTTACCCACACCAAAAAAATTTGTTTTAAAGCAAACATGAATGAATAGGTATTTTGACTGTTTTAGATTCTTCCTCAACTGGCATCCAGAAATGAAATGATATTTGGTATGACTGAGGAATTTTCCTAAAAGATGAGTAATTTTCATAAATTCTTTAAATCAAGGCCAGAGTTAGGGACCCCATCAAGTTCAACATGTGAGTGACATAATTGTCAGCACAAGGAAAATGGATTTTTCCCTATAAGCCTTTTTACAGAGACCACACCTACTCAGCTAACTAAGAACATGTTTATTTCAAAGCAAAATGATCAAGACTACATAGAGATGGTTCTGACAGGCCCATATAATAACTGTTTTAGAGAAATGGAGAGACATTGTGAGAAAACCCCACATGTATTTTAGTGGGACGGTTGTGATGCATTTTAAACAAAGGTAATAATCTTTTAATAAAAAATAGTGCAGCAATGTCAGGCTTTAATAGAATATTATGAATAGTTAAAGCGAGTGAAGGGATACAGTGAATTGCTTTAACCATGGATGCTCCAAGAGGGAAAGCCAAGTGCACACCAAGGAGTTGTGGCTAACTCTTAAGAAGAGGACAGTGTGCTAATGGTTGGATGCAGACAGGCAAGGAGTAATTTCAGAGCTCACAGTCAAACAAACTGCTTGTGACAGGAATACTTGTGCCCAATTACCAATTCAGAAAGAAAAGAGAAAGCAGTTTCAGTAGAGTCAGGGTGGGAAATCTCCAATTAGCACCAATTAGTGAAGTTGCTTCCTAGAGTAGAATTCTGGGGACATTAAAAAAAAAAAAAATTCTCCCAGAATGCCTGGTAGAAGCAGGTGATGAGACATACCCCTTGAAGGAGACTTGAGGAGGATTTGTGCCCATGGGGTGTGGATATAGATACACACTAGAACTTGCCTGCTCGATTTGACTGGTCAATCATGGGTTGTACTATTCTCCTTCTGGCATTAATAAACCTGAAATAGAAGAAAGAAGTCCGGTCACCAAGCTCAGTCTCTGTGCTCTGTGGACAACTTTGTGTGAGGATGCTAGAGTTCAACATCTACTGAACATCATCTATTTAAGTGAAAGATAGCTTTGTCTTTCAGCGTTCAGAACCAGCTGCCTGGATCAATCTCTCTTGCTATGGTACCACGAGTGCCAAGACCAACTTGCTACTAACAAGAGTTCTTTCTTGGGCTCCTGCTTCTGCAACAAGTAAGAACCTGGATACAGCTCATAGGTTGGAAGATTTTTTCCCCCTCCCCCTGGACTCCCCATGGAGGTGGGGAGGGAGACTCAGCTTCCCCTTGTAGCTGGCCATAAATGGAGCCCAGGCTCTGGCATTGGGCTTTCACAAGGTATTGTTAGGTCAGCAAAGCCATCAATTAGGCTGTCTGAAGTTTTATCACCAGCACAGCAGTAATAAGTGCTGGCCAGAAAGACTTCTGCTCTTGGGCAACTCCTGCAGCTTAAGCCTGTAAAGTTAGGGGTCATTCAGAGGTCAGTACCAGCTGGGGGCAGCCTTTGCAGGCAAAGCTGGGACACCCAGGGCAGAGGATAGGGTAACTGCCAACCATAAACCTAGCCACCTTTCAACCGACTAGAAAGCCAGCTTCAGGTACACATGGTTGATATTAGAGACCGGGAAACGTTTTCAAATCAGGTGGTGGTTGAACCCCAGGAATGTGAAGGAGAAGCAGTTATTTTGTCTAGGAAGCCTGGATCTAATTTTGTTGAAAATCCAAAAATAAGTGCCTACTTCATGTTACTTTAATGTTTAATAATGCCCATCAAATATTCATGTACAAACAGAGTAAGATGATAAGAAATCTCCTTTATTTCTCCAAATTTAATAAAAACAAAACAATTTTCTACCATTTGCGAGTTACCCCTGTCCCCATGCTTGTAACAATGTGTATTCCCCCCACATTTGAACTTCTGTGCAAGATTCAGTGCCCTTGTGTCAGGCTGGGGAGGGGCAGCAGTAGGGAGCGTATGGTTAGCCACTCCTTAAAAATATTCTATCTTGTTGGGCGTGGTGGCGTACGCCTTTAGTCCCAGCACTTGGGAGGCAGAGACAGGAGGATCTTTGTGAGTTCAAGGCCAGTCTGGTTTACATAGTGAGTTCAGGTCAGCTGGGACTACAGGGAGACCCTGTCTCAAAAAGACTATATATATATAAAATCTTGATAATTTTTTTTTCAGTATTTCTACTTTCGAACCTTAAGCACATGGGGGACTTCGTGATTAATGCATCCACATGGGGCTCCAAGCAGCAACTGAAAGCTCATTCTCTGAAATTCGCCAGAGGAATTCTGTTGGCAGTTGAAGTCCTTTGGAGGAGGAGGACAGTGAACCCACACAGGCCTCCTGTGAGCACTCTGGTGGGAATACAGTTAGGCTAAGGAATAATAGCCAGGAGAAAATCAAAGGAGTCTTTTGCACATGGTATTTGTTTGCAAAACAATGAACTTCTTTATTACTTAAGAAAGGATGTCTCAGTTGTCAAAAATGTCCCGCCCCTTGGCTTTGGGGAAGAAAGGTCCTGGCTCCTGTAAGTAGGGGGTAGAGGCAAGAGGGGTGTTGAAGCTTCTATCTAATCCCACCTGTCACCTGAAATGTTATTGACCATGTCACAAAGACTTCTAGAAGCAACCCTTAAACCAAAAAAGAACCTCACTATCTCTTCCATCCCTACTGCTGTGACGGAGACCAAGGAGGGCCCATAGCCATTTCCCGCTCCAGGAACTCTTTCATGGGCTCAGTTAAGACCAAGGGAGATGCTCTGGGGAGCCTCTGCTCTGTCTTGAAGCTTCTGATAAAGAACTCATGCAGGGGGTGTAGTTTCTCTGTTTATGCGCTGTTAATCCTGTTGTGTGGTTGGTCTTTAATTTTTATCAGTTTTCTTTTCTCTTATAGTTCAACCATTTAGGATAGCCGAATTGCTGCTGTTTTTTCCCTTTTTAATTTCAACTTTTTTACTCCTTTATTATTTACATCTGGAGGTTCCTCCCTTATTTATGTCTTTCCTGGTCCATCAAACACTCCCTTACTCACTGAGCTGCAAGGCATCATGGTTCTTAGTTCTCAGCAGGAGAACTCCACACTGTCTTCAAACAAATAATTACTGGGAAGGTTAGAGGTTCACTCAAAGGTCATTTCTTTGGATACTCGTCAGAATGTTTACATTAGTAAAAACGGGGGTCCTCTCAAAGACTTGTTCAATGGGGGCCATCCAACAATACAGAACATTTAGAAAAAGCATTCTGTGTGCTTGCAGATCTTTATAGGAGTGCTGAACTTGGAAATGCTACTTTAGCACCACATTTTATACAAGTTACCATGGCATGGACTGGATGCTCACCAGCAGTTACGGCAATGGCTTTTCTTTGCCCACTTCTCCTAAGCAAGGCTGAACCGAAGGCGGGGAAGGTTTTCACGGGACGGTCTTTCAGAGGGTCGAAGAGAATTTGCTTTTCCGTGGGCTCCACAGAGCCTTTCTGCAGTTTTGTCCTCAAACAATGTTTTTGATCCACAGCACTGCTTCTTGCCAGATTTGTAATTCCACTGCATTCTTTCAACTCACACAGAATTTGAAAAACATATGGGCCCCAATTTTTTTTTCTTTTTCAGAAATCTCTTAACATGTAACTCTTGCCAATTGTGAACTGCCCTAATCTCCGTATAGATGTTTAACACCATGGATGCCATTATTAAAATTAATCATGTGTTCACCATAGGAAAAGTTTGATCTTAAAAATTAAAATTACAAGTCTCTCCTCCCTTCATACTGATGACCCATAGGCTGCCCTTAGAAAACACTCTTATGAACATAAAATGGAGCCATTTAAATTATAGATGAAAAAAAAATCAAATGAGGAATGTTTTTTATTTCTTTAATTCCTAAGATGAACTTTCCATCTACAGTCTTCCCCTAAGATGAATTGACATGAATTCTTTCCACTTCTTCTAATCTATATTTTAAGAATGACCTTTCCTTTATGCAGATAATAAACAGAATACCAAGTTTAGATTCTACTTAAACTCTAAAGTCTCCAAGTTGAAAATCAACTCATCTCCAATCTTTCAAGGCTAGAGCTCCATTCATATGGAAACATGCAACTTGCTGGTTCAAAGACAAAAGACTTGTCTTTAAAAGGCTCAAAGGGTTTCTTGGATATTAAATGGGTCTCACAAAATAACATTTTGATGAGTTAAGTGTAAATGAATCAGACACATATGGATTAAGTTATCCTTGCATTTCACACGGGTTTAAAAAATAAGGGGAAAAGAGGGTCTTGGCAAAAAACATTTTGGACTTTGCCAAACCCAAAACATTTGAAAAATTGCTGAAGACATCCAACTAACCAAAATGCAGCAAGCTGCACCCAACTTAATGAAACCCCCACAAGTTATTTCCAACCCAAAGACTGTTAGGTTTTTCATCTGTATCTGATATTAAAAAAAAAAGAAAGAAAGAAAGAAAGAAAAAAGAAAAAAAAAACCCTCTAAGTTTTAATGTCATCCCAGAATGGTTTCTGAAGTTGCAGGCATATAATATACTTATATACTTTTTTATTGGTACAAACAATTTAATCTTGAGTTATAAAGTCTTCTTAGATATTAAAAAGTTCCTTAAAACCCTGAGTTTTGTACAACTTGTGTGGAAAATATGCTAATAAGCCCAGTGCCTTACCCAGATTTCGCTTAGGAAAAAAAATGTCATTAGCCTCATGGTGACTTTTTTTAAGGGCTACAGATAATTCCATTAGTGACTCCTCAGGGAATGAGTACCCTAAAGTGCACTAGTTCATTGATTTGTATTGAACACAAAGTTAGTATCCAGGCTCACACAAATGCTCTGGAGAGTCTACTAAGACTATTTACATCTCTAAATTTTGCTTAAATAGAAAATGCATTAGTATGTGAGATCCTTCAAAATTATATACTAAGACTGCTAGCTTAAAAATAACTTAATTATAGAAATAAATTCAATGACTTTCCAAGAATCATGAGGCCTTTCTAAGTCAACTCAGAGATTAAAAACAACAATAAAAGCAAAACAAAACAAACAAATCCCTCAATAGATTGAAAAGGAGGTGCTTCAGAAAGCCAGTGTCATCAAATCTCACCTCTCTTGCTGGACAGGCCTCCTGGGGACCTTCACCACCCCAGGAAAATCCAAACATTTTAGCTTTGCATACTTTCTTGCAACTGAAACCTGACCACTGGGTTTTCTTCTAAAGCCCTTTTCACTCCAAAGCATAGCTCAGGCTGGTAGGAGTCGACTCAGGTGTCATTCATGATTGTTGGGTGGCTCCCCCACCCCTTTTAAATGACTGACAAATCCCTTCTTTCTGGTTCACTAACTTCATGCCACACCTGGTAACCAACTCCTTTAGGCAGCATTCCTTTTGTTAGAAAGCGCAGGTCTCCTTGGAGTCACCTGGAAAGTAACCAGCCCAGAACCCTCTAAGGAGGAGTTGAGATGGACTGGATTTGAAGCTTTTGCTTCTATTGGTGTTGTCAAGGAAGGGGGCTGAAATGATAGATCAACTTGGAAAATGTATTGTTGGTGGCTTGGTGACATGGGACCAGTTTACAAATGAAAAAGCTCTGCTTCTGCACTCTGCATTGCCACAGACCTCACCTGCCAGGGAGCTGCCCCTGGTTGGGATTTCCAACAGTGAAGCTTCTGCCTTGGTAAATTGGTTATCAAGTTTAATTTTTTTCTTAATATTAAAAAAAAAGCAAGTCTTAGTCTGTGCTGTGGTCTCAGTGACATATATTAAAATGGTTGAGCCAGTGAGCTGGGTGGGCTTAATGCTATCAAACATGTACTTGGGCCTGTGAATGAATGATTGACTCACATTGCACATACATGGTTGGCCAGACTTGGGATCTTTTCTTAAAGATGACTGTGAGCAAAGTGAGGTGGATGAATAAGATTTAAATGCTACTTAAGGAAACATTC